CCTGTCATGCCTCTGCGCCCCCCTGGGGGGGCGCGCCCCCCACTTTGAGAACCACTAGCTTAGCCTAATCGATCAGTGCACTACGAAGCCAGTGCTAGACAGTGAACTGTCAACGGGGGGGGGAGCCCCGCCGGTCATTATCGGCCGATATTCACTCTTAATAGTTTGATCGGTGCTCTCTATAAAGGCCGATCAGGAGAGCTGGATCTGATCGATATGGACATAAACGCGAGTGAAGTGTAACCGGACACGAGAGAGAGATCAGATCAGCTGCTGAGTCTGACGGAGACACGCAGCTCTGCATGATCACCTGAAGCTCTGCCCTCTGTTTAGTGAGCTGACCGGACTGCGCAAAATGCGTATATGAAGTGTCATGAACGCAAGAAATCATACCCTTGAGGGGGCGCGCTCATGTGATTGGCTTAGAATGAAGGAGACATCTGATTGGCTATAGATAGAAAAAATTACCAGTACGAATCGGCTGACCGTCAGGGGAGTCTCAAAAAACCCACACGAATGCACAGCGATCCGTGCACAGAAAGCGGTTTGTGTTTGCAGGTGCAGCGGTTTTAAACGGAAAACAAATGTGTGGATCAAAAATACATATGTAAAATGTATTTCTGTATCTGGATTTTATTTACATATGAAACAGAACACATTTGTGTGTTCATTGAAAAACACAAGTGTGAATCCTTCTGTGTGCATGTGTGTATTATGAGACTGTTCTGAGCCCATATTAAACAGCTCTGTTCATTTCTGTCTCAGCTGGGGAAACTGAAGCTATATAAACACATTGTGCATCGGGATTAGCGTACCTCCAGCTGGGACACGTTCTGCTTGTAGTTGACCTCCAGTGACTTCCTCTGGTGCTCCTCCTGCTGCAGCTTGCTGTTATTGTCTGCCAGCTCTTTCATCAGACCGGTGTACTCAGAACGCAGATTGTTCAGCTCTGCTGAATTCCTATGGAGAAAAAAGCATCATAAATGATAGATGTGGAAATAGATAGATTGTTGGATGTATTGATGAAACACACCACAAACAGCATGTATGTGGCATTTCACATTATGTAACTGTGCATACAGATGGGTCTCTTAAAAAGGTGGGGTAGGTAGTTTTGGAGAAGCCAGCTCGAGTGCGCTAGAATTTGAAAATACACAGCCGGGAAAAAATCTGCCATTTCCTTACAGAGCCCCTCCTCCAACACACACGAACGCGTACATGACCAATGAGGGCACGAGATAAGTTTGTGCACAGATGGAAGGCTGACAGGCAGGTAGGCCGTCCAGTTACTTTAGCTGGACCGGCTGAAATGATTGGTCGTACTTTTTACAGCACCACGGCTTCCACAGATGACATTTTTTTATGGATTTTTTGTCAAAGCACTTCAGATATTCATTGCTATCGGGATGTTAAGAGCATTCCATGGAATATAACAGAAAGTGTATCTCGAGCCGGTTTCTCAAACTTACCTACCCTACCTTTAACGTGAGCAACACATGCAGGAGAAAGGAAGGGAAAATGTAAATCCGAAACGAGCTAAAATTAAAAACACAATGCTGACATTCAAATATTGTTTTACTAAGATGAGCAGATAAGACATGTAGGAAGCATGACCAGTAGCAGATATTGCAGTGCAACACTCACTTGCTCTCCATCTGGTTGGTGGCAGAGCTGACTGCGTCCCTCAGGATGCCGTTCTCCTGCTGCAGTCGAGTGATCTGGCTTTCCAGCTGCTCCCTCACCTGCTGGAACTACATATACAAGAGGATTCAGTGTCAATACAACATTTTTTGATTTGTTCAAATTATTCAAATGTCAGGATTTTCCCAATTGTATTAGTTCTATCTAATGTTGTCTAATGTGAAACTGTGCTTATAATAAAACAACAACATGGGAAAGTGTTGATGCTTATGTAAGAAATCTGTTCACCTTGATCTGCATGGACTGGAGCTCCTGGTAGCTGCCCTGTGCTTTGCCCTGCATGCTCCCCAGTTCTTTCTCCACGGCTGCACGTTGGTCCCTCATCACTGCCTCCACTCGGGATGTCTTCTGCTTCTCAACATGAAGCTCCTACAGCACAGTAGAAAAACAAAATATTAAGCTCTACACTGAGACTAAAAGTACTACTCCATTTGGGGAATAAGTTGAGAATAAAATCGTGTCGTGAAATCATGTGATTCAGGAGGTAGAACATGGGAATCCTGACCTGGCTAAGCTGCTTCACTTTGTCCTTGGCAATGGACGCCTCCTCTTGTACAGTTGTAAGAAGTCTCTCTCGCTCCTGTAGAGCTGGGTCAGGCCTGGCTGCAGACTGGTGGTGAGACACATAACGTTAAAATAAAAGTGGTCATAGCTGGTTCAACGATAAGAACCATGTCTCCTGCGAAATAAAAATAAAATGTTTCGCGTCCCCACACTTTTTCTTCTCTATGTTTCACTTATTAATGTCTCACTTTGAAGCAGGCATCCAAAGCATTAGGGCTCTTTTCCCGGAGAAGAGTCATCACACTGACGGCCTCGGCCTCTGACAGAGCGAGGCTGGACAGACCAGACAGCAACTCCTTCAGCTTCACCCCGGTGTTCTCTGTTCAGACACATACGATAGGGAACACCATTTAGCATGTTATCACAACAAACAGAACCAAATGAGGGATCAGACTTGTTTTCCCTCTCACCTTTGTCGGTCTCATTCTTCTGTTTCTTGCCACTCCCTTTAGCGGGTGCATCGTCGTTATGACCTGCCTGGTGGTTGGCAGAAGCCGCCAAGTCAGCCAGAACATGGGCTTCGTCAACTGGATTGAAGGAAAAGTGGTTGATTAGAATACTAGGATTTGGTTTAAGAAATGTAGATATTACTTTGCTTGTGTATCAGCCTTACCATGCTCGGTCTTCTGCTTCTTGGAGTTCTTCTTCTTGCCACTCGTAGCAACAGGGGTTGCCCCGTCCAGAACTTTGGTTTCCGCCACAATAGGAGCTTCCTTCTTCACTGGGGCCGGCTCGGACTTAGCCTCAGGCTGCTGGTCATCCACTGCAACTAAGGAATCATTTATTGAATCAAAGAGTTAGCTATTTCTGTCTACGAGATGCACACCCACGTTCAACAGTGCCCTAGGCTACTCACCAGGCTCTGCTTTTTGTTTCTTCTTGTCCTTCTTCTTCCCAGAGGTTTGGGGAGGTGTCTGAGCCTGAACAGGAGCCTGGACAGATTGGACCTGGACCTCAACCTCAAGCTGGGGAGAGGGGGGGCTGGACTGTTTGCCCGCAGACAGAGTTTGCTCTGACTTGCGGCTCACCGGCTTGGATCCGTTCATCTCTGGCTCCTCAGAGGAAGCAGCAGCAGCAGCCGCAGCAGCAGCAGCCTTGGCGGCCTTCTTGTCCTTCTTCTTCCTCTCCCTCAGACTAACAGGAGCCTCAGGTGACACAGAGACCGGCACGTAAGGAGTAGGTGTCTCTGGAGCTGGATCTGGTGTAGCCACTGGTGTAGGTTCCTCTTCTACGTCCATAGCGTTGGTACCATCAGCCAAATCAAAGTCCTGCAGATCCTCTTCAGACTCTCCTCCACCTCTGCCGCCTCCTCCACTAGCACTCTCCTTCTTCTTGCTCTTCTTCTTGTCATTCTTCTTACGGGTGTCTGGCTTGGATGGTGGTAGCTTGAGGTCTCGTTTCTGCCGGGCCAGCACCTCATCGTAGGAGGTCTCCTTCATGAAGAGCCAGAAGAAGAGGAACATCAGGGCGATGACAAGGGTGGGGGCCAGGATGAGCAAGTACTGAGAGTCATAGATATCCAGCGCCATTCTGAAAGGGTTTGGAAAAGAAACAAGGGATCAATATTTTATTTTGGCCTCATCGTTCAAAGTAACCACCAACCAAATTGCATGTGCATTTCCCACATACTGAATGTGTGACATTGTGGCGATGGCTTTCCACCAACAGAAGGCAACTGGCAAATTCAGCTACAAACCGAGAGAGCACAAGAACAGACAAGCACACATATTTTATGAAATGTAATCTGTGATTTCAGCTTGCTGCTCCTTTCCATCCTATACCAGTCCTGCTGTTCAATTATTCTAACTTTTGCAAGTGTGAACTGGTGCAGATATGAGGTATGGTAGGTGGAGGTGTGACAGCCTATCCTCTAAGTGATATGATTAAATGAGATAACACAAACACAGCTACATATCTTCTCCATCTGGACAATCCTTTTTTTTAACATGGCTTCATACAGCTCACCAAGGGGACAAAATAGGTCAAGAACATCCAAGTGACAACTAGGCTTAAAAGAAGATGGCTCACTATCTTATTTAGTCACTTCCCCTCCTTCAACCCCCACAAAGGCGACACGGTGGTATTTGAAACTCATATCAGCATGGATTTGCAAGAGGCAAAAAGACCCCCACACATGCATGTGTCACACACTGAGGTCTGCTGCAGCTGCAGTTTGACCCCTGCCTGCTTTAAGCCAACGGAGAGGAGGTTCTTCTTCTATCAAAGGCAAAGTTAACAGAGTTGAGAGGTCCTTTAGAGACAACATCCGTTAGGATCAGTCAAAGACATTCTTAGGAACTATGTGTTGTCTGCTCAAGGCTACACGGTAGGGCTGGGCGATATATCGAGTTTACACGATACATCGTGGATTGCACTCCATGCGATGTCGTAAATGACTGTGGTCATTTACGACATCGCATGGAGTGCAATCCACGATGTATCGTGTAAACTCGATATATCGCCCAGCCCTACCGTGTAGCCTTGAGCAGACAACACATAGTNTTATGCTGAGATAGTCCATCAAACCATAATCGTCCGCCAATGCAGACATACATGACAGAACACCTGCATCGGATAGAATGATAACAGTTAGCGAGGACGGGCGAGGAGCGCGTCATACAACACTGTGAACACAGGACTTATTCACAAAGTACGAGCAGTCTCTTCTCCTAAACAAATCTTCTCAATTTCGCGTATAACAGTTCTCCCGTTATAAACACACGGCTTATTTTCTGATTTGAACTACAGTTTCGCACCCCAGTAATAACATTCATTTCTGGGTCAATATGTGTCATTGGACCGTTTACAACCACATTCACCTGTTATATTTATCCCGTTCACAGAAAGAGGCAAGGATAGACGATAGAGAGGTTAGGCTCTATCTGTTTGTTGAGAGAGATCAGCCCCGATTTTTGTCGAGAGTGAGATTTCTACATCGACCCCCGCGAACAACCCTCCTGCGTGGTGACCGCTGTGTTTCGTTAATTTATCGAAATGTGCCAATCGACCATCCATGTAGAATAATCCTATTTGTTACCTAGTTTTAGATTTTAGGTAACCTTATAATTTCAGCTTGGCTGGGTGGGCCCTTTTCCTTTTGTTACACAACAATGTAACAAGAACAGCCTGGCCTTGCTGGGCCTTCAGAGACCAGCCTTCCTCTCCCTTTTCTCTCGCGCTGGTGTCATTTATATTTGTTGTTAACTTGCCCTTTGGGTTCCCAAGCCCAGTAGGGAACGTAAACAATTAATATCAGAACGACTCTTGTGTTATTTCACTTCCCGCTTCATACTTGTTGATTGAAATAAAACTACACCAAGCCAATTTGGATCCGCAATAGGAGGAAATTGAAGTGAACAAAATATCAAACCGATGTGTTTTAGATTATTTTTATATTTCGATTATGTGGTCGATTTTATCCTCTGAACCGACCCAACTCAATAAATCTGGATGCAAAAGGATATCTTGTAAATTTATGCAAGCGTGCAATCTTTTGAAGCAGACATTCCCCAGTTCCTCATTGGTCATTTTGTAGTCCTCTGCTGTCGCGTCCCGGATATTGGCATCGCAACCACAACCTCCACACACTGGTACTGAACGTGCCATCAAGAGTGTCCTACCAGCCAAATATACCAAATTAATGTAAACGACAGAAGCAAGCGATCCGAAATGTGTATTTCCTGGTTAGTCGACAGATGGCTCCTCAAAGTAAATGCGCCCTGACACATTCCTACCGTTATAGAATATCAGAGATACACGAGTTGCCCGCGCCACCAGTTAAAAGGTACACCCATCGTTATCTGATGAATTAAACAGAGGGTGGCAGCCAGTAGCGTAGGCAGAAATTTGCTAGGAGGCGGCCTGTATTTCCAGGGGGAAAAATGACTTTAAGGTAGGGCCCTGGCCCTATAATATAATAGACATATAACTAATTCCCATTGCCAAGGTAATCGTTGTACGCATCTTCCTCCTGAATAATGGTCGAAAGACTGCTGACTGTGATATGAAATCGAATTTATGACAAATCTCCATATCAACGTAAGAGGCAATAAAGACCACCAAAAAATAAACAAATAGCATTGAGGCTCCATTCACCATTAGATCAACTGTTAAGGGCATTCTCCAACAAGGAAGCTGTAAACAGAGCAGCAAAAGCTAACCAACACGAATACAAACAAATTAGGGACAACAACGCTACCCTACGTTACAACCAACTTTGTGGCCTCTTAGGGCGGGGTGGCTAAACTCTAAACATTAACTTCTCCTTTACTTTCTCGGTCGTTATATGGTAGATTGAAATCTCCTGGCTCCTTTTCTTCCGTCACAGTGTTGCCATAAGCAACAACCAAAACTCCTGTCACCAGTGTTAGAACTGGCCTTCCAAAATAAAAAGCATCCTAAATATCACCAGGAAGTTAACGCTAAATTACATCAAGGCAGATTTACAACTGCAACGAAAGTAAGAAAAACAATTTATGTCCTTTTCAGTTTCACAGAAAACAAAATTAGTTATTAACTCTTGCTATGCACTCCGGTAACAGCAAGCAATAGGTTGTAGGCATTCAAACCTGCTCCATGGACTGGCATTGGTACGGCTCCTGGCTTTTTTTATGTCTCCTCCAAAAGAGTTTACGGCAGGTGGGCTGTCCCAGTCTACATATCCATCGTAAATGGGGCAACTTCAGCTCGCAGCCGGGAAACTGTCTGCACATTTAGCAGAAAAAGCGCGTCCCTAACTTGCGCTGTATTCCACCCCCAGTGATAAATCTCCATACCGACCGTCGATGAAGAAGCACCTTGCCTTCCCATGATTTGGAGTGTAACGGAACTTCTTGCAATTGTGGCCTGTGAGGGCGGTCATCAATGGCAGACAGACCCAGCGGGTATGGCCTAGCACCTGGGGCTTCATGCGACGACCGCGGACGAGGGGAGCAGCTGCTAGGCGCGTGGAGCCCCAAATGTGCCAGTAAGCAGTCTCTGGACTAGTCGGAGAGTCCGGCCCCGGATTGGCTGCGAGATGAGGGCAGTGCGGGGCTCTTCTGGGGTCTGGCTTTAAAAAGAAAAAAAAAAAGTTCATCTAGTGACTTTGAGCCAATAATTTGGCCAGGCAGGTCTCTGGCCTCTGTCACCTGTCACGTTACTAAAATGGCGCCTACGCCGAACCAACTCCAGTTTTTACCGAGTAAATGAGTTCGGATTTGCAGAGGATAAAAACAGCATAGCACACACTTAATCAGCTGATCATTGTTCACTTCAATTTCCCTTTGAATGGCTGGATATTCCTCAATGGGTGAATACATCTTTTTATTAAAATTGTTACGTTCCCTACTCGGGCCTAGGGAAAGCGCAAAAGGCAAGTAACAGCAAATATAAAATGACGCAGCGAGAGAAAAGGAGAGAACTGGTCCTCTGAAAAGCCACAAAGCAGGTCTTTTAAATGGAGGCAAAAAGAAAAAAGGGCGCCACCAGCGCAACTTGAAAAGTAAACTAAGAAGGTAGCACATATAACTGAGCACATCTTATAATTAACGAAACACAGGTCCAACACAGAGGTTGGGCGGTCGGATAATCCAAAAAATCCAGCTCCTAACGTCTAACCCTTCCGCTATTTCCTTGACCTCTGAGTGAAACGTCACAGGGTTAGAGGGATAGTGGTAGGAGAATTAAAAGGAATTTAGTGAGAAGGAAGACTGGCCGGTAACTTTAGAGAATCCGACTGCCTTTCACTTAATCCGGACGTTGTTTATGATGGGCCAGCCAGCGACGTCATTTTGTGCTTCTGCTGCGGGGATTATGGAAACTACAGTTTTCTATACACAACGACTACCATGGATGTTAATAAGAACGAGGGACTACTGGTAAACTCATCTAGAGACTCTGCACCGTGCTTCTGATGCTGTTGCTTTATGAACGTGGGCAAACCAGAGAAACATATTCTTCATGACCCAAAGTTGGATTGAAATAAAAAAGGAAAGTGAAACTTAATGCTCGTCAAACCTCTCCCTCTGGTCCACATTAATATCACAAATGATCCCCACGTATACGTATGATTGTATGAAAAGATCTTAAATAAATACAAATGTATTTATTATAAACTTTAGTCCTTAACATCTATCACCTGTATACCATTCAAACATATTTTTAAAGTTGAACAAACCCCACAAAAGCTTAGTGAAATGTTGACTTTATTGATAATTTTTCAGTAAAAACTAAACCTTCATTTTTCTCTTTTTGATTATAATACTGATGAACGTTCAAAACAAAGCACTTTGGCAACTTACCACATACCAACGTTTTAAAATGCTTAATAAGCACTGTAACTTTCATGATATCATTTCTCGGTCTACTAATCGTTTGTTTCCGTGAACGGCCGACTGTTGTGTGACGGTAAATGCTGCGGCTGCAAGGCATTGTGGGGCAGCATTTTCTCCTCTCCTTTCGGTAAGGGAGGTCCAGTGGTTCCTAAGCTAAAGGAAGTTTGAAACCTCTTTTCCTATCATCTAGAGAATTTGAACGGCACTTATCATGGCTGCCACTGAGGGACTTCCGGGTCATTTCACTCGGTTATGAAGGTTCCTAAGCTAAATGGACTATTCGACTGCAGCCAGAGACATAGACACCATGCTGCACACATGCAGCCAGAGGAGAAGGAGAGAGTGACTGCAGCCTTCCTCAGGTCCTTTATGAAGGCCCTGATTGGGGATTGAAAGCACCTGGGGGAGAGGCTACACCTGGAGACAATCAGAGGGAGAGAGAGAGAGAGAGACACACACACACAAACACCAGCACCCACTACGGCACGTAACAATAATAATAATTAAAAAATTACACCGAAGCTTTCTCAGGGTGGGCCTGGACCTATGGTGGCTACGCCACTGGGTGGCAGTGGCACCATAGTTTGAATTATATTCCAGTGTAATCTACACACAGTATAGGACTATTCCTCATTTTAGACCCCTCACTGTATTTTTGCCCTTGAAAAACACCGATGGACAGCGTTTACTCTGACGTCAGTGTTGTGGGTGTGGCCTCAAGTGCAACAGGATTTACATTAAAACTACAGATTTAGTTTTTAATAATATTATATTTTAATAATGTTTACTACATCCAATGTGCATACAACAAAGAATATCCTAAAATAAAGTAGTGTAACCTCAGTGGTTAAAAATATAAAATGTAGAACAATTACGGTGAATGGTACTGGTTTTATTTAATGCAAACTTATTCTTCAATTTCATTATATCAGAGGAAAATATTGTACATGTTTTTATTTTCACATAAAACATCAATGAATTACCATTTGATAAAAATATTAAACTTTATATAATGATACTTTTACTTTATTTTAGCTTAATGCTTATCATTTTAACTTGACTTCACAGTTTAGTGTGTCTTTTACTTGTAGTACTTGTGTTACTGCTACTTTTACTTACAATAGTCTATCTAAAGTGAAATATCTAATAACACCGTCCCCCACAGCTGATATTTATCCTCTTCATTTATATTGTTTAAGATGTACCATATTTGTATGCTAATCAAGGATCCAGCCATGTATAGCCTATATTTGTTAGCTTGTAACCTTTGCTTGTAACTGACATTTCTGTGCTGTATCTCATGAAGTTAAGCTAAAGCATAAACTTTATAACATGTTTCATGGTGGTAGACCTCTATGAAAGTTTATATTTCACAAGCGAAATATATATTTTATGGATAGACTATATGCAATAATTTCATAAATTGTTGTAGCGGATAATGATCTTATCCTCTGATTTGGAATGTGATAAGAGCAACGGTTAGTCAAATGTTCAGCTTCTTCACCTAACACTGGGCCTCAGGTCACATCACAACAGCTTGTTCTGCCATCTCTTGGTTCGGGGCACAATCTCAGATACCCATATCTTAAAAGTAAGTCATCAGGACCGGTCGTTCTAGGGACATTTGTTAAATAAGAGTTGTAGTGGCTCCAACTTTCTAGGAAATGAGTGTTGGGGGCTATTGGGAAGCATTCAGACCTCATCAAAAGAGATTAGGGGCTCCTTGACTTAAATCAGCAGGAGATGCTTCTGCTGTTTTACACAATGAGTTGCCTGGGACTTAAGGGACCCACCACATAAGCATGGTTGCAAATGTTCCAACAGCATCATGCCACCGGATTTGGCAGAATATATAATGTAATATATAAGATTTACATTTAACTTGTTACAACTAGGTCTATTTCAATCAAATAGATGAATGAAATGCAAAATTGGACTACTCTTCTCTAAGTTTGTAAAAAATCTACTTATTGTAAATCCCAGCTAATGTAGTTAGAGTTGGGGCCATCTAAGAAGGTTAGAATAATGAAATGCTGATTACAGAGTATCACATTTTTAGCAGTGAAATTATAGGACCACATTTTGGCATATTTGGCTTTATATATGGAAGTAAACTTACCAATAAAGACGCCAATGTGGCACTGTAGAGGAATGTTTTTGGTCATTATTGTTTGAAGATAAAAATAACAGAATGCCAGCTCTTGCAGTTATCCATAAGCGAGCTGGTTAACTTTTGTACTGTAATGAATGACTAAGTTAATGTAAAAAAGAAAGCAGCTGAGAAAAACTGTTTGTCTATTCATAAGAACAAAATGTTGCAGTGGAAGAATAGCATGCCACACACTCCTCCAAGGACAATTTCTAGTCACAGAGCTTCAAGATCATATACAGCCTTCATCCTCTCTTATCCTTCTATCAGAAAAAACATTTACAACCTTTCTTACAATTTCATAAGTATGTTACAAGACCTATTTCAGTTGGGTAAAAATGAAATGTGAAACTACACTTCCATTTATTTTGTTTACATGAACGTATTGTAATACCAACCAGGAAATAGTTAGAATTAGTTTAACCTACTGTACAGGTTACAATAATAAAATGCTGATTACAGAATGTAATTCCTTTAGCAAGTATATAACCACATTTAGCATATTTATTTATTTTTATCTGGAAGAAAACGTTACCAATAGAAAAACACCAATGGGGCCCTGAGGAAGATTGCTTATTTCACTAGAGTAAATAGATAAAACTATTTTCAATATTATGTACATTATTGACAGAGAGAACACTGACAGGTCAGGTAAATGGTTTGTTTTATATGCGTTTGCCACAGAGACTTGTCAAAAACAGACAAAAGGAAATCATTTAAAAAATATTGCTAGCTAGGGTGCTGTTACCCTTTACATACCTAGAATCACTATTCTAAACAGATACAACTTAGATGCTTAACATGTTATCAAAGTGATGTTTTTCAATATAAATATTTTAATATTAGTATTTTATTTGTAATGTCGTAACTCCAAAAATACACCAAAATATTAACAACAGGCACAACCGGCACAACTTAAAAACAAAAAATGAACTAGTGCAGCATTCAGAAAAAAAATATTATGAAATGTTAACTTATGGTGTTCAATTAACTAAAGTAAAAATGTATTTCACGTGAGTTTGTATTTTTAATAGTTGTTTCTGTATCGTGAATGCCTCAGACAGTGAAAGCTGTTGTAACGTACGACAGCAGCAGCTGAATGGAGCCGAGAGGAAGTGGCGGTTAATGCAGCTCCACACCTTTCCGGTGTAGCAGCACTGCGACCAGCTCGACTTAAAGGAGAAAGACGAGAGCTGGCTGTATTTATTGATACAGGAGGGGGAGATAGGAGGTACATTTCTTATATTTCAATTAAGTGTTTATCCCAGTGAGACGTGAGGCAAACATTTTGTCACTGTCGCACGTATTTTCTATCTATATATGGTTAGTTTTCCACAGCTAACAACCGTTATCTAGTTAGCTTAAGGCTAGCTTGCTAGGAAACCAGCTAGCTAACGTTAGCTTGCTAGCCTTCTTTAGCAGCCATGAGCGGTATCTTGCTAATTTGGCACGTCTGACCCACCTCCTAAATCTCTTTTCAGGGGGCTACGAACTGGAGTTTCTTGGGTGGATACATGTGTTGCTGAGTCACAGAAGATTTCTTTTCGAAGACGTCCCTTACAGCTCGGTGAAGTTGCCCGGCGCGACGCTTGATGGACTAGCCGCAGAAAAGCTGCTTTTCTCCCCGGTAGCGGTGAAGAGAACAAGGGCGCACCCGATGAGGAGGACCGGACACCAGAAAGAACTCACAAGTAACGTGGCCTTTTCGAGGCCTTGTATACACAACGTGTCTGCTCTTTGTGGTTTTTAACCTTCGCAGCGTGTGTTTGCCAATCAGCTTTATGTTGATTTAGTCAACAAAATGAACGTCCTGCAACAGCTGCTGCCAAGTTCTTAGTGTAACCGTGCCATGTTGTGTATAGGCCCTGCAAACATTGTGATACTCTGAACATAAACGTCCCAGCACTTAACAGGACGCACAGACTTTCAATGAAAACCCCTATAAGTACTGTTTGTTAGATTTTAACATGAGTGTGCGTTTTTGACTTTTCTCTCCGATATATGCTCTTCACTGAGTCATGTCATCACAAATAAGCCCTTAACGCGAAGCTACTGTTAAAAGTGAATAGTCATCAGCACGGAATCTGACATTTTTCTCGTTAGAAACAAAGTATTTATGCACACGATTTCAAAATGGGGAAAGTGCTGTCTAAAATATTTGGCAACAAGGAGATGAGAATATTAATGCTTGGACTTGATGCTGCTGGAAAGACAACAATCCTTTACAAACTGAAACTTGGACAGTCTGTCACCACAATCCCCACAGTCGGCTTCAATGTGGAGACTGTCACCTACAAAAATGTCAAGTTCAACGTCTGGGATGTTGGAGGGCAAGATAAGATTCGTCCTCTGTGGCGACACTACTACACAGGCACCCAAGGGTTAATTTTCGTGGTGGATTGCGCGGACAGGGATCGCATCGACGAGGCAAGGCAGGAACTCCACCGCATCATTAATGACCGGGAGATGAGGGATGCCATCATCTTGATATTCGCCAACAAGCAAGACCTCCCGGATGCCATGAAGCCACATGAAATCCAAGAGAAGCTCGGATTGACCCGCATCAGAGATAGGAATTGGTATGTTCAGCCCTCCTGTGCGACCACAGGTGATGGACTGTATGAGGGCTTGACATGGCTAACATCAAATTACAAATCTTAATGATTGAGTGCTGACTGTTTTAGGTCAAAACTATAATAACGTTGCAAGTAACAAATAACTTTTCAAAATGAGTATGGTTAAGAAAAAGTTGATTATTTCCCATTTATTTTTAATACTACGTTTACCCCATGACTAATTTATCTTTAACTGGGTTTGCTGGCTTAAAGTTTGCTTGTACTCTGTAGCAGGGCTATTTCACCTTCATCATCTTGGGGCTTGCTTGATGAATTCTGAATTGATTGGTCCTGATGTTAAAGCCACAGAGATCACCGCCTTTGCCTATTCTTTTCCCTGTTTTGTATAATTTTTCTAATGAAGTTTGTGTCTTCATTCAAGGACTAAAGCTTGTTTCAAGGCCCTTCAGTCTCTGCTGCATCGAACTTGGATCTTTTTGTTCTTCTGAGGGGAGATCTTAAATGTCATGTAGCATACTTGAAGGAATTTGGTATTTGTTTTAACACAGTGCTGTGATAAGTATTTCTTCTCAATGGTATTGACTGCTGCAATGGGGAAAAATCAACATGGGTTTAATTTAATCGTCATCTGTCTTGACAAAGAAATAAAATAACTTCAGACATGTTTTGTCCCCCCCCCCCTCCCCCAAATCCCCTTATGTGGGCTATATAATTTTCTGATTGACCTTCCGTTTCATGTCTTGATACCTAATTGTGCTGAATATTCAACAAATACGCCTCCTGTAACTCTTAAACATGCTTGTTGGGATTGCATTTTTGATTTTCGGTAACAAGTAGTCAGTTGACTCAATCTTTCCAAAGGAATGTCATTCAGCTCTGAGCTCTCAATCTGATACCACAGTTGATTAGTGTCAGTATTGGGACATTATATGATAGCCTATATCTGTAGCATGAGTACGAAAGTACAGTAACCCCACACCAGAGTCCATCTGTCGTGCAGTCAGAGGGAGCTGTTACTGGTGAATTGTAGAAGACACCCTGCAGTGCAGCTCTTATTTTGACTGGGGGAACCATGTACAGAACAATGTCATTGTAATGTCTTATTAAAAAAGTGATTTTAAATCTGTTATGTCTGTTTGTTTGGTTTTTCAAGGATTAAAGTCAATTATCTTGGCTAGGCCTGTGAAATGAAACTATTTTGTTTTTGGTGAAAGTTTAATTTACTTGTAACTATAGTGGTTAAAAATAAAAACTGAGAAGTGTTGAGAATGTTCAAAGTAGAAGTATGTCGTGTTAAAATTCTCTTGGGTTTAGGACAATTTAACAGATTCTTCATAAAGGGTTTATGTCCACCCTCAGACTAAGTTGCTGGCCTCAGTTCCCCTGCCAGTAAATGGGGGGTGGGAAATGTACAAAACAGGAAGTCCGACTGCTGGTCTCTTTAGAACAACAGAGCCACATGATAGTTTGCATGGGAGTCGGAGGGGCAGCTGCGATATACAGCCCACTTGTGAATTCTTTTTAAATGTTGAGTGTTGGGTTTGAGCCATAGCTGAGCTGAATCTGAGCTGTCAGCTGTAACTTCCTGAATATGCATTTGGTTGGGACTGGCATTTAAAAGCGAGTCTGGGTGGTTTTTCACTCGCTGAGAAGGGAAGTCTTTTCAAGTGGACTAATGTAAATAAGATTAACTTGAGACTCATCTGTAAAGAGATACTAGTAACTAATAAGACCGTTTATTGCTCTTATCAAAAGGAGAGACCCACAACCATATGTTGCAGTCTTTCAACATGAGTATAATGAGTGTGTAATAAGGATAATTACCATCATCTTGGTGTATATAACCTCAAAAGTGAGAGTGATCCGTGTCCAATCTAGTTTGTTATATGCTAGAAAGATGACGCCATATCCTTTGGTGTCTTTATTATTCCCCTTTTCTACTCGGCAAAAACGCTGATGTAATGTCATTCTTGCTGCTGCTGAATAATCATTTCTGTCAAGCTATTTAAGTCGAATAGGCCTTTTAAAAGATAGTCAGTTTGACATTTCATTAGTAAGTCGGACACAGTAATGTTTTAGTTTCCATTAAGTTGATTAACACTTGTGTTAGCTCTCTTGACAAAGACATTATTAATAGTGATATATAGTCTGACTACTGTGTTTAGGGTTACTGAAGCTTAGATTCTTAAGGATTCTTCCTCTCAGCACTGAAAGGTACTCTTTCCAGTGTTTAACACCTCCACATAAAGAAATCTGGCACAATGTAATGCAACCTTCCCTTAAAAAGCACAGGTTACAAGAATAGGATGCACACTATCTCTCAAGCATACAAGGTAAGTATTTGCAGCATTCTCTCACAACCTCACCCTATCGTACATGTGTCTAAGTGTTTGTATGTATAGTCATTTAGCGTGTGGAAACTGGTGCTTAGCAAGTTGCTGTCGAGGCCTCAGGATGTTTGCTTTAGCACCACAGAGGTTTCCGTCACACAGGTCAGGTGACAGAAAGATACAGCTCCTCTGCCACAGAAGATGTTCCACATCACCCACACACTTCTTGCAGCTGTGATTTAACTGCTCTATCAGAGTAAACAGCTATGATTGTAATAATCAGACACAAACACTTCAGATATCCAGGCTTCTGAGGGTATTTGTAAATATTTTCCTTCAGTGAGAGCTTGGTCGAGGGCCTCCATTATATGCTGATGGCAGTTTAATTGGGCTATAATGGCCATTCTGGTTCCCACCACTTCATTACAACCATATGATTCTCACAGCTTTATTAGAAGCACTGGGGCCCCTGGGGCAAGGACAGCGAACGTTGGCAATGTTCTATGACCTCTCCTCTGTAAAAATGAGACCTCCTGGCCCTTCTCTCAACTCCCTCTGTGCCTGGTTGGAATTCCTTAGACTTCCTGAGAGGAAAGGTCATAGAGAGAAGATCAGTTATGGGTGCCACGTATAATCAGTTTCATTATTGTGTGTTATTATGAGATGCAAGACAGCATTTAGAAAGGTGGGGTTTGAATATGATTGTGTTCACAACAGCACAGCAGCACGTTCATTTAGCATCTCACAAATGAAACAAAAAGCTTATTTCAGATCCATACCGTCCTGGTATCAGAATCTATCATGTACAGAGGATAAGCTGTAAGAGAGTGGTCTCTTTAAGGTGTAAAAGGACAGCCTTAAACCTACAACCTAGTTACAGGAAATGGCATCCTGCGTTGATTTAAATAATTTTGTTATCAGACGTAATACTTACTAAATTCAGGAAATATGGGGCAATATGCATATACTCGAGTCTATACGAATTTCCTATAAAGACATAAGACTGAAATTAACGAATGAAATTAATTAGGCTTTTTCACTAATATTATTTAGTTATTGTATTTTTTTCATTTTTTTATTTTATATACATATAAACACACAGTATAGAGGCCTATACTTTTCGAAATTATTATGATCATATTTTTGCTACGATTATTTGGGGGTTCTTTAAATATATCAATGTATGAATAACATTACTCAGTGTAAAGCAAATCAACAAGTTAGACGATTAAAAAAAGGCCTAAATGCTTCCATTAGTTTGCACAAAGATATCTTCCCCTCCTGTTTGTTGGGGCAGTTCCTATGAGGACAGCATGATGGGACCCTGCTGGTGTTTGTGGTTTCACATAGGTGGCTGACTGTGCTGCATGTTTCCAGTCACTTCCTCTATTCTATATAAAAAGCAGAAGAGAGTAGAGAAATTGAAAGACACCCCGCGTTCGGTGAGCTCAGTTCTGCAATAACGGATCAGACCTTATTTGAATCCTTTTGTTGCAATAAAAGCCTGGACTTCATTAGTCAACTTGAGAAAGATTTAAAGTAGCTTACGGATAACTGTGGTGAGTGGAAGGCTATATTATAGCTGCATGCCCGACATGCCTACAAACCTATAGCCTGAGTAATGCTTGTGGTTTTCAAGGGTGTGGTTTCTTCTTCCTCACTTGTCGTTACTTCCTCTTCACTGCAGGGTCACATTTGTGCAGGTAGTACGAATATAATACTTCTTTCTGACTGTGGGTTGTGAATAGTCATTGCAGGCATTTCGCCTACAGTTGAACAGCCACACCCAGCTGGATAATCACTGTTGGATTTGTTATGCCTTTAGACACATATATTCATGTGCACATTGGTGAACTATGTAATTAAGGTGGTTCATTTATCTGCCAAATGGTAGGAGGGAACACCTACTGTAAGCCACAGCTCACACAATACAGTGGCTGCTTAAGGACAGTAAAACTGCCTCTTTGGTTATGAAACCTCTATCTCTCTGTCCTCTGATTAAATCCTTCAATGGGTAGCCTTTTCAAGAGTGCTTTTGAACAATGAAGTCACGCAGAGCAGAGTGTAAAAAAATAGCAGGAAGTGGCTAAACTTTTTTTCAGGTTTCCTGCTGAGGCTAACACTCACAGACGCACTCTTTTTTTGGCGTCTCTTGTGTTTTCATTGTGTGCCAGGGAAGGTTTTGGTTATAAACTATTTGAAAAAGGGTTGTGCAATGGCGTTGAAAATGTGAAGCTGTGAAGTCCAAGGTGCACTCTGGGCATTGGTCCAAAATACATTCCAGTCATATCTGAAACTGAAGGTTACTTGCTGTGGTGAAGTTACAAATTCAAAGAACCAGAACATTATTATGAAAAGCTGAAGGTCCACACGACAAAACCAATTTGTTTTTTAAGTGAAAGACAAAGTGCTCATACAAGCATTAACTACATGATTTAACCATTAACAATACAGTACAGATGTGTTGGTTCAGCCTTACTGGCCTATAATCATGTTGGTTTCTCCACTTTAAAAATATACAATCTAAGTCCCATTACATGTAAGCCTCTAGCTTCTATTGAAATTCCATTATGTGAAAACCTGAAATGTGTCCACATGGTTCCTCTTGAGAATTGCAGGATGTCGGACACAGCTGTGTGAAAGTGTGAACCAGTCTGTCCTTGGACTCCACTGCTGTGTTTTTCCAGCTGTAACACACACAGAGATAATAAGGATTGTAGCTGAGTGTGGACTATCTTCCCTTCAGATGTAAGCAATGCTACAGTGTAGAAAAGGGAGGGGGGCGGCAGACGTTATATATGGTGCTGCAGCTTGAGGTCGATTGGCTGCCAGGAACAGAATGTGCGTCAGTTCCTAAAACAAAATTAAATTAATTGGAATTTTTATTTTTTATTATTCAGAGCGTTGACCTTTGCTAACCATGTGGCATGTGTAATTTGGCTTAACATAACCTCAATACCCACATAAACAGGTGACTCTAATGCCAAGTTGAACATAGACAGGAGTCATTCACCCAGCAGCAGTGTCCAGCAGCCACACATGTATTCATTCGCAGCCTTCACACAAGGACTGATACAATGATAGAGATCCATGCAGAGCAACCTCAAAGGCCTCCTTCAGCAGCTTGCCACCACACTGCCACGCTCCATGACTGACTACATCTGTATGTCTGACAGGAGCGCTGTAATTACAGTGGAGACAGTGTTTGGAGTGACATTGCGTCTGGATTAGACAACAGTTTTGGAGGAAACCTCAGATCTAAGGCAAGTCAGGCGCTGCTGCTCACACTAGATTCAGACTACTGAGATATAATGACTCAGGAAAAGACCACACACACACACACATACACACACACACACACACGCACACACACGCACGCACGCGCGCGCGCGCGCTTCACCCTCCCTTCTGCAGTTCTCCCCTCGGTGCTGGTCCGCCACCCATCTTAATGATGACAAATACATCATTGCACTAGAATGCCTCAGGGACAGCAGTCACCGGCAAGTTGCCGCATAACCTGTGGTATTTCAAGTGAGGGATCAATACACTATTTCATTTTTACTGATACCACGTTACTTCCATTCATCACTGACCATATACCCATAGTTTATTGTAACAGTTAAGCCTAATGCTGCCTACAAAGACTACAACGGGTTATAAATGCTCTTTAAATATCCAGATAAACAATCTTTGGTGTGTCGAATATTGCTGTATTGTCATGAATTGAAGGGGTGGGGAGTGTGCATCATTTTCTCACAGTACTGGTTGTGTGTCCCTTCTCAACTGCAGCACAGCTGTCCTAACAGCACCCCCATCCATCCTCCTGTCCCCTGCAGGGGGGTGGGAGTGGTTAGGGTGAGGGGGGGTTGAGTCAGCATTGTGTTTCTATAAGCTAGTTGTCCTGTCGGGCTTTGCTTCACTGGCACCGTACCACCGCTTGCTTCTCAATCCTTTGAACAACAGTGCCACAGATTATTAGCATTGTTGCATCTCATTATGGAAGAAGCTGCAAAACGAATCACCTGCTTTGTTTTGGAACAGAGCCCTTTGTGCAGCATAAAGGCCCCGTTTGTAATGTGATCTGTGTGCCTAAAATGGGCTGTGAGGCACCTTTGCAGGATCAGAGAAGTTACACACTCATGCCGGATTCTTCTATTATTCTATTTTTAATCAGCCCAGTTTGATGTCTATTCTTAAGCCACTCCCTAATAGTTAGCGAGAAAATTAGTCTTCCTTTTTCTGGAACAGTGTCTCTTGGCTCCAGGCAGTGAGGATGGAGACACAAAGGATCTTCTGTGTCACTTGGCTGTGATGCAGCAGAGTGGTGCACACACCAAACAGGCTGCCTGGAGTCAGACTCTCCTCCACCCAGCTGGTTTGGAGGGGCGCTGCACTGCTCCCTCGTGTTTTCAAAGAACCAGGGGGGGTGCAGGTGCATTACAGAGTCTATGCAGATGTTATTTACCAGGATATCTATGTAGAAATTAAATATGTCTGGTTGTATATTGTAAATGAATCTCAAAGATCATAGTAAGAGCTCCAACAAATGTCATCATCATTCCATAGTCAATAAACTGCCTGTGTCAAAAAGAGGGGACTTTGTGGTTTTTTCAGCTATTTATGACGACTTTAACTTTTCAGCCTACTGCAGGTTTTCCTTACAGGTAAGAGTTATTTCTACAAATAGCACCATCTGTTGGCAGAACACGCCCCCATTCTGTCTTGGTGCATGCAGTATATGCCAGTGATGCATTTGTATCGCTTTTATGGAATAAACTGTAACGGTTTCACTGTGGGCTGTCCTCATTTAGCCTCCTGTATTCCCCTGTAGTGCTAGTCTAATTAGCCAACCACAAAATTATATAACTACAGTATTTCAAGTTAACATTTTAATAAAGAAGATAGGACTGGTGAGACTGTAAAACATATTATAAATGGCTTGACTGGGAGAGCTAAGGGAGGGGAGGAGGATGAAATGTTGACACAGAATCCCCCTCTAATCTCCCCAATATCCCCCCTGAATACTGCCCTCGACACATGGGGGACATGAACTTAATACCAGCTTTAAAGCAAATTAATTAGCCGGACGTATATCCTGGTCTGATTGTTGCAGCCCAGCTGGACTTGGAAGAAGTGAGAGGGCAGATAAGGGCCACAGGGAGTGATCATCTTAAATGACCTGCTTTAATTTAAGTATCTGTAAAAGAGAATGAGAATAAAGACAATGAATCTTACTTTATCCCTTTTGTGTTAGGCCATATCATTGATTTAGGTCAACAGGGATCCAGGGTTTAGATTATTTAACCATGATTCATCCCTCTCTGTTTCGCCTCCTTACATTCCCAAGCCTCTACGGGGAATTTGTTGATAAAGAATATATCAGTTGGGACAGGAGGGACTTTATTTGTGTCTGTACGTGTTTTCAGATGAGCAAACGTCTCCTAATGCTGTACTTAAACAATGATGATTTACCATTAATTACCTTTACACACTGCTAAAGCATCTGCTGTTTTAAGTATTTATATATTATTATATAATGATCTTTTTACACAACGCACAAGGTGGATAATGAAATGTTCGATTTTAATAAAAAATGTAACCATTAAATTCAGGAATATTCATGGCTCGCAGATGTTTGCTGTACAGTGTCAGCAGATTTCAGGCAAACAGGTTAGCCTATGGCACTAATATTGAGCATTACATTAATGCATGTAGTACATAACCAAACTTGAGTCCACATTGCAATCTTTTATAAAGTAATTTTGGTATTTTTAGGACCTTCAGTGTCAACCTCACCCGTCAACTTCAGTATTAATATTTTTATTTGGTGTGAGCGTTGGAGGCCACCCTGCTCATTACACTGCATCTCTCCTGTGTAAACAGAGTGCAGCATGAAAGGCTGTGAGGGGCCCCTGCATGCCTGTGGGAGTGCGGGGCGTACTTCATGGTTTATGCTTGAAAAAGAGCCGTAATCTTTCAGCTAATCTGGGGCTTGGGATAGAATTCCCCTCGCAGGCAGGGCAGAAGCTTTTTAGGAGATTTTATAACTGGGCAAGCTAGAAACATATGGATAAGGGAGTTTTAGTCATTATTTATTTTCCCACCTCTCTAAATGTAAAAAGTTATAAAAATGTAAAAATAACATTTCAAAACCTAAATTAACTCTGTTTTAATTTAACAACAATTGGTCCTCACTAGTAGTCATAATCTACTAGGTTGCATTGCACAGGCTTAACATTACTCAAAGTGAAATACTTTGTATTTACTCAAGGCAACTATTGCCCCCTAGTGCTCCAAATCAGTAATGTCTGAATTGACATACCTCAGGTGCTCATTCTAGGGGAATGTTAACTATATCAATCTAATTTGTGACTCTGCGTATTATCCTAATGTTATAACCTACAAACATGTATATTGAACCATTCACATCAGAAAAGGACAGTCCAAACCAAAATCACAGCAAGTCTAATGATTTTTTATTTTGCTGCAGTTTACTGAGCTTTAAACTCAAACTTTCACTGTCTTTTACATTTACAAGATTAGCGAGACAAAAATCCAAACAATCACCAAGAAACCATGGTTTAATTGTGGTCAATTTGTGATCTAGTCTAGCTTAAACAACTCATTTTATATTAAGGATAGGCTGCATAGTCTTTCATGTCTCTGCTTGCCCATGTCTGCCATCTACCTTCACAGCCCTACAATGAAACACACATATGAAACTCCTGATATTATCTTCATGTGTTTTGAAGTGGAATGGTTTCGCTTTGAAAAAAAAAAAGTGTTCTCCAATCATCAAGCACATTCTTTAGTGATATATCCAAAACATATATTTCCTTAAAAAAATGTTAAAGCGAGTGCAGAAATGAAGATACATTAAATATAAAACAGGTACAAATTGAAGTCTGATTTCCATAGGGTATTAGGGTACAATACTGATTACTGTAGACACAAACTCAGGCTTTTCTCCGGATGTGCAGGATGTGGATGTCTGGACTACTAAACTCTGGGTCTTGCTTTTCTGAAGGGATCTCCTCACAGTTGAAGTTTCTTTGCAGCAACTAGAAGATAACACAAACGACCATGATGATTTACTGAGAGGCTATGACATACATTTCAACATATTATTATTTGATTACCTGTTTATAAGTATTTACAAATGGAACAAACAGTTCGTCACTCACCTCAAAAAACTTTTTCTCCACTTTTGGGTTGACTCCTTCTGTGCGTTGCTCATAGCAGCAAATAATGCAGGTTTCTGGCCCCGAGAGCAGCTTCAAGCTGTCCACCAGAGGAACAATAGACTGTGTGGAAATGTATTATAAGTCACTAAGAGAAATACAGTGCTACAGTTGTTTGTTCTGTTTTGCAATGAAAGTGATACAGCACAATTTTATAAATATTCATAATTAGATTTAAGGGCAAAGTAAAAGTAAATTACCTGCTCATAATAGATGCAATCAGCCATAAGGACATAATGTGGGGGAGGTCGGAAGTCAGACACATCTTCACCCCTTTTTAAGGAGAGCAGAAATCAAGCAGTTGTCTTGCAATGTGTTGAACATCACATTGGGTTATATGACTGAAATACAAATAACAAAATTCAAGTACAAACCATTTCAGTACCTTGGCAGTAACTGATCCACTTTTGATTAGTGCCTGGTTTTCCTGGATGTTCAACCTCAGGAGGGTCTGCAAATCCTCCAGGTCTGTCACAGTGACGTCAGCTCTATGGGATTTATAACACAATCAAAACAATATATTACTATTCTGTTTGTTATTAGTTCATAACTCCAAAGCAAGGGGGAGGGGGAGAGCAGCTAGTTCGTTGTTGAATAGCAACACGTTGGAGGTAAAACACTTGTATAATAATATTTAAACAATTAGGTATCATAATAACTCTGATTCTAAGTAAGTTTTCTCACCCCAGTGTTGCTGCCATCAGCCCAACAACTCCTGTCCCAGCTCCTAACTCCACCACAGTCCTCCCAGCCCACACGTTCACTCCTGAGGACGGATCATAAAACTGCTTCGTCTCTAAATATTTTGCCAGGACAATAGCTGCATCCCAAACAACACAGCCAACATCTCCCAAGTAGCACTGCTTCACTTTTAGGGAAAAGCCGTCGTTTTTCTCAATTTCTCTCACAAAATAATCACCCTCTTCTGCATCAGCCGCCATGTTGGCAGCGGCAGGAACAAGTAGGTGATTTCCGGTTTGTGTTATTTTCAGAATAAAAGCAGGAAAAAAAGTGCACTTACTGAATGTTATTACAAGATAACTATTTGTGTAACAAGAAACAGTGATGTGAGCCTACTCACTCATTCTCAATATGGCAACACTTAAAAAAAATATGAATGCAATCAAAACCAAATGGGTGTTTGACAAATATATTTTCAATCACTTTCTTTACCTCTTTGTATTTGTTTTACTCTGTATATGTACCTATGTCCCACCGATGTCAATGTCTTGTGTGTATTTCATATTTGATGTACATATGTATTTAAGTCAGTCAGTAGTCTTGGTTAAACAATCCATCGTGACTGACACCCGATGATGCTGCATGCTAGGACCTAACATGATCGCGCGCTGATTTGGTTCGTGCATCGTACTTTCGGTGTGGCGGGTTTTGGAAGCTTCCGGTCGGACTTCTTCCAATCCACATTTATTTTTGCTATTCCTAACATAAAGTTTAAAACATGTATTAATACGTTTGGTAATTTAGGTCTCTTCATCTGCCTTTACCAGGTTTTTAAATGTTTTCTAGCAGCACAGACGAGGTAGGTGACACCCCAGAATGTAGAGAAACATGGGGGGTGTCCCCAATGGACAGAAGCGAGCCGAATGAAACGACCTCGTACTGTCCGCCTTCAACTTCGTCCAGTTCATCCCATCAGAGTTTAGGTGAAGGCAGCTCGAGCTCCGGCCATGGTCTATCGCTCCCCCGGATGGCCTCAGGTGAGGATAGCCGTAGCAGTTTAAGCTAGCACCAATGTTAGCTTCTTTTACTTTTACAAAAATGGCCTTAAAAATGAAGTTAAAGACTGTCTTAACATAGAAAAAAACACTGAAATCCTGAAAAGTGTATCCTGATTTACCTGTGTAGTTTTACAGTTGGTCAATGGGTTACAGTATATATGGAAGCTTATGAAATACATAGAGACTTTTCAATTAAAAAAGCTGCATTTTCTATTGGTATGAAGTATGCCTTAAAATAAAATACAAAAGGTCTTTCTTATTTGTCGAGAATAGTAATAATATCTAATATGGAATGGTATTCTATATGTCACATGAATTTGAAGCTATTGTTATTGGACAGAAGACATTTCAACGACAAATATGCTGAATTTCCATTCAAGTACTTATATTTGTCTTGAAAAAGGTCAGCTCCATCACAGCTACACGTTAGACAGGACCAGTTCGTCACTTCTTGCGACTACCTCGGACAGCTCCTCCCTTCGCAGCCGTGGAGGACCACCGAAACTCAGGAGGACCCCGGGGTCTGCTGGGGCCCCTGGCACACACCCAGCACGGACACCACTGACTGATCACACTGGTACTTTAAACTCAGATACTGTTTGACCATGTCAACATGACTGAAGCTGTGATTCTAATTCTAATTAATGTTTTGGTTGCAGTAACAAGCTGTTCCTCTGCAACGTCAACTTGTGGTGCCTCTGTGATTGTTGCGGTGGTTGAAGGCCGCGGTTTGGCCAGGGGAGAGATTGGCCTTGCTAGTCTCAACTTGAAATGCCCGGAGCTTATACTCTCCCAGTTTGCAGACACTGGGGCGTATGCCAAGGTAATGTTGTCAAAAGCTCTAACCTACATGCTTAATTGGCTGGAAATCATTGCTACACTCAGCACAGACTCTTAAAATAGAAGAAACTCTTGTCTCACTCATATGTTACTCTCTTGTAGGTCATTACCAAAATGCACATATTGGTGCCACTGGAAATACTGATGCCAGACACAGCCAGTGAGAAGGGGAAAGGGACCAAGCTGTTCAACCTCATCACGGAGAACTTCCCGGTACCTGTGCAGAATACACTCATACTAGGCACGGGACAATAGGAAGATTTTATGCGACATTTAGGCCAGAATAATCGCGATTTAGAATGTAATCCTGACAATCATAAAAATATGTTTAAATGGCACTAAAACCTATTGGATTCCCAGGATTTTGTTAGAAAACAAAACGCTTTAATGTATCCACTAATGTATTTCATTTTACTACGATGAGTGCAAAAATAAAAAGCCTTTCCAAGGATATTTACAATGAAAGATTTATTTAATTGCGATCCATAATCAAATCTTATTGCCTCACCCTTTGCTGCCTCTTCTGTATGGTACCATCTATTCACATGTGTTATTAAAGCTGCTATTGTGACGTACTATTGGTGTTTATCATATTATTATATTTATTACAATATTATTATGTTTGTTTGTCAGGGTGTAGCTTTCACTGCTATCCAAAGGAAGTACTTTAATGAGAGGAAAGGACTGGAGTACATTCAGCAGCTGTGTGCTCCAGAATTTGGCACCGTCATCATGGAAGTGCAAACTAAGTACGCTACTGAGTACATTAATGTATAGAAGCAGATGTACTGTAACAATATTTTTGTATTACCAAATGTCATTATGTTTTCAGGTATTATTGCCTAGCTGCAGCAGCTGCTTTGTTGAAATATTTGGAGTTCATCCAGAACTCTGTCTACGCTGCCAAGTCTCTCAAAGTGACTTTTAAAGGGAGCGAGCAGACAGCAATGATTGACTCAGCATCTGCCACTAACTTGGAGTTGGTGGTCAATAACAGAGACCACAGGTAAGAGGACGAGACTGTCAAAGCATCTTTTAGGTGTGTAGTGCTTTTATTATCATGTGCATTAAGTGATCTGTCTGCTTATCTGTGTATAGGAGCGAGCATACTCTTTTAGGTGTACTTAACCACACTAAAACGCCTGGTGGAGCTAGAAGGTTGCGCTCCAATATTCTGGAGCCTCTGGTTGATGTGGACACCATCAACATACGCTTGGATACTATACAAGAGCTGCTGCAGGACGAGGAGCTCTTCTTTGGCCTGAAGAATGGTCAGGAATAACCACAAATGCTTTTTATTGATACATTAAAGATTCATGTGCATACTGAAGATGGGAATATAATAATAATAATAATAATATGACACAGTTTTTCAATATCTGCTCTTTTGCACAGCCATAGGTCATTTCCTTGACATTGACCAGCTGCTCTCTGTTCTCGTCCAAATCCCAAAGCAGGAAACGGTACTTTCAGTGTTTGTGATTGTATAAACTGATTTCATAGCAGTGGAATGCGTGTGAAAATGTTAGCTAACTAAATTTCCAAAATATGTGAGAAATGTGTGTCTGTCTTTTAACAAATCAGTTCTTGTTTCTGTATTCCTGCAGGTTCAGGTTGCTGAAGCAAAGATTACTCACGTCATTCAGCTGAAACACACGTTAGACCTAGTGCCACGGTTACGGGTTTGTGAAATTGGTTTTAAATCATTCTATACCCATTTAGAGAATGATGAAGTAGGCAAATATTAAGTTTGAAGCATTTTCCCTTTTCGAATAGTTGGTGTTAAAGAATTGCAAAACAGCTCTGCTCAAGGCATACAGCACCTCCCTGGAAGACAACAGGTACCGAGTGTTGTGACTATGTTTGATATACATTTGCCATCATGTACTACAGACTTCTTACACTCAATATTTTTGAGTTATCCTCAGGTTTGACATGATCCTAGCGCAGATCAAGACAGTGATAAATGAGGATACTACCTACCTGAAGGGCAGCCTGAACATGCGCACCCAGAAGTGTTATGCTGTCCGCCCCAACATCAACGAGTTCCTCGACATCGCACGCAGAGCTTACACTGAGATAGTGGACGACATTGCAGGTGTGTCGTTTGGCTGTTCAGTTGATATATTTGGCTTACAATTAGGGCTGCAACTATTCATTATTACCTCTCATCATAATTATATGGCAAATATTTCTCTATTTGTTTCGGTCCATACTTTAAAAAAAACATACTAAAACATGTCCATTCCAGATTTTAAAGGTCCATTGTGATTTATTTGAATGTTTTGACAGCCCAAAACCTAAATATATACATTTTAATATGATACATATATATTCTACATACTATATATGAGAGGCTGAATAAAGTATTTTCTGCCATAATCTTTTTCCATTTTTTAACAACAAAACACTTTGAATGTTGCACAGGCCTGGTGAACCAGTCGGGGGAGAAATACGGTTTGCCGATGCGTACCAGCTTCAGCACAGCTCGAGGTTTCTTCATCCAGATGAAGCTTGAAGGGCTGGTGTTGCCTGAAGGGAAACTCCCCCCTGAGTTCATCAAGGTCCACTCAAGTTAGAGAGTTAACAGGCTAACTAAGAACAGAGAAAATGCTATATCTAACTATTGAAAGAACACAAAAGCTTGATTTCAACATCTGCCTCCGCAGGTCACCAAGCACAAGAACAACTATGGCTTCACTATTGCTGACCTGATGAAGATGAATGACCGCTGTGATGAGGCCCTGAGGGAGATCTTCCATATGTCCTATGTGTGAGGAAATCATGATCATATCACTAGTACCAAACATTCACAGTAATGTATTGTTTTGTGGGCACTGTCTAAGTTTTCATTTTAACAGCTTATTTAGATCAATTATTGTGTTCTACCTTTTGTCCACCAGAGGGTACTGTTTGTTAGCAAATGTTCCTTCAGTACTATTCCCCTGCAGCATCTAAGCTGTCTTCCACACAGGGTTACATGTCAGCTGCTAAGCACTGTCCACGAGCACATCCACTGCCTTTACAAGCTCTCTGATGCTGTCTCCATGCTGGACATGTTGCTGTCACTGGCCAACGCATGCACCATCTCAGACTATGGTTAGTATGAATCACTGAACCAACTACCTATCTCAATTCAGTCAAACTGTCAAATGAACCTTTCCGGATGCTGATCTGTTGTCTTAAGGAGTGCTATGTGCACAAAGTCAGCACCCAGCCGACGTCACACACAACAGTCAGACACTGCTCCACTGAGCTGGCAGCTCTGCTGGCATCAGGTCTTTTTTTGTGGTGGGGTCGTGGGCAGCACCAGCCCGATCAGCCACGTGGGTGGTGTGCGCTGGGCCTCAGCTGTCTGAAAGTGTATCTCCATATACATGT